GTTTAAATGATTACGACCATGCAGTAGTCAGCTACTGAATACGAGTGTTTTAATGAGTACACCATGCAGTAGTCAGCTAATGAATACAAGTGTTTAAATGATTACACCATGCAGTAGTCAGCTACTGAATACGAGTGTTTTAATGAGTACACCATGCAGTAGTCAGCTAATGAATACAAGTGTTTAAATGATTACACCATGCAGTAGTCAGCTAATGAATACAAGTGTTTAAATGATTACACCATGCAGTAGTCACCCACTGAATACCAGTGTTTTAATGAGTACACCATGCAGTAGTCAGCTAATGAATACAAGTGTTTAAATGATTACACCATGCAGTAGTCACCCACTGAATACCAGTGTTTTAATGAGTACACCATGCAGTAGTCAGCTAATGAATACAAGTGTTTAAATTAGTACACCATGCAGTAGTCAGTTACCGAATACCAGTGTTTAAATTAGTACACCATGCAGTAGTCAGTCACTGAATACAAGTGTTTAAATTAGTACACCATGCAGTAGTCAGTCACTGAATACAAGTGTTTAAATGATTACACTATGCAGTAATCTTAGAATAACAGCAGTTGATATCTGATCATCACAACCTTACTATAAATTTTTATATTATGATGTACTGTATCTGTTGTAAACATATGTTGTTTTTACAGTAATTTTGAAAGTAGAGCAGGAACAGCCATCGTACATTGAAGAAGCTGTCTGTGATCTTATCAAGGAAGGAATTAAGCAGGGACAGAGCAAGGAACTGGTGATTGCATTGACTGAAGTGTTGATCAAGAAAGTTATGGATTCAAGCATGTTAGTACTGTAGAAATGAATTATAAATGTTGAAAAAGTTTTGAAATTTTTCTTACATGTACATTGAATTGAATTATTTTAGTAACATTATTCTAAAAAACATTTATAGAACTTGGAATGATTTAGGAATTATGTGATTAATTTGTAGAACAGTGAAATAAATGTGTTCCTCAAATTTTACATAAGTTATTTTTTTTCCACTAGCCTTTCTTTGTCAGCCACCCACCAAATTTCTCTCTATATTGATTGGTTGCATCACCTTGAACCAGAACTAATAGGGTCTTGTCCAGAGCTTCAGCAGCAGTTGCTGTTTATGAAGCATCATGAAAGTGAAAGTGGAAAGCTGCCAAGTGACTTGCCTGTTCTCTTCCAACCTTGTTTGTGGGCTCTACTGATTCATCAGGCAAGCTGGGAAACAATGAATGGCTGTATTAAATCATTGTTAGACAAGAACACTATGCAGACATGGTAAATATTATCAGGTAGATTTGTTACACCTCCATGACTATTGAAAGTAAAACTTTGTTTTCTTTAGTCTTTCTACACACGTGTGATTTAGTTGTAGCTGACCAGACCTAATTGTACTTGTACCAAAAGGATTTTGTAAAGGTCATCTAATGTCTAAAGAAAAAGAAATTTAAAACATCATAATAAGTGTGTACTAGTTTAGTTGTGGCAGTGTCCTTTTCTCTTGAGCTATGAAACTGCTGTTATATACAGAGTCGGAAAGAACTATGAAAATGTGCTACAAAATTACCTGAGAACTACATCAATTAAACTTGTGTGTTTAACCAGCAATAGAGAGGAATTAAAAAAATATTTAAAATATAAAGACTTAAATATTCACTTTTAAGCCTATGCACTGAATTGCAATTGAATACATTATGTACTGTTAATGTTCTTAAACTGCTGATTAAGCTATAATGTCAACATTAGGGTAGTTTTTCTTGAAAAAGTGGACAGTAATGTTCATTTTGTGGCATGATGGGTAGGTAGTTTTTCTTCAAAAAGTAACTACACTACTAGTGAAGCTATACTGTGAAGGCTAGGATAGTATTTGTGGAGAAGTAACTGCACTACTAGAGAAGCTATACTGTGAAGGCTAGGATAGTATTTGTGGAGAAGTAGCTACACTAATAGTGAGACTATGGTGTGAAGGCTAGGATAGTATTTGTGGAGAAGTAGCTACACTACTAGAGAAGCTATACTGTGAAGGCTAGGATAGTATTTGTGGAGAAGTAGCTACACTACTAGAGAAGCTATACTGTGAAGGCTAGGATAGTATTTGTGGAGAAGTAGCTACACTAATAATGAGACTATGGTGTGAAGGCTAGGATAGTATTTGTGGAGAAGTAGCTACACTAATAATGAGACTATGGTGTGAAGGCTAGGATAGTATTTGTAGAGAAATAACTGCACTACTAGAGAAGCTATACTGTGAAGGCTAGGATAGTATTTGTGGAGAAGTAGCTACACTACTAGTGAGACTATGGTGTGAGGGCTAGGATAGTATTTTTGGAGAAATAGCCATACTGCTGATCTGTCTATTATATGAATGTTAGTTTTTAAAGTTTTATGGCAGTTTGCTCTACCATTTGCATTGTGTTTTCTTTAGCTATAACCCTACTGCTGTACTGACATTTCTTTGGGCTTGTATTCATATACCCAAGATTTGGCAAGGTCGAGATAAGAAAATTCCCAAGGTGAGTCAGCATCTGTATGATGTACTTTAGTAAAACAAAACCATTATCATTATCTACTTTGATCATTATAACCTGCCTTATTGTAATGAAGAAATCACCTTAAACTGCTTAATTTGGTGAAAATATCATAAGCTGCATGGTATGAAGTTGCTTAATATTCATAAAGAAATACCCTAAGCTGCTTAATATGATTAAATAGACCAAAATAAGCTGCTAAATATGAAGAATAAAATCAACATGAGTTGCTTAATACAGGTAAAAGCAGCATAGTCTGACTAACTGTGGTCTAAATAAATTTAAAATATAAGAATAATCTCTGTCTTTATAAAGAAAACATTACCCATGACCAAAATAAATAAAAACTCTTCATAACATTGCATGAAAAAATCACTTGTAAAATAGATTATTATAATTACTTTGGATAAAAGTCACCATATATATATATATTTAACATAACATACTTTATTGAATAAGTATTACTTAGTAAAATGTGTAACACATTCTGAATTGACACAGTCTAAATGAAAGTATTGTATAACCAGTGCTACCTCGTTTTTACTTATAAATCCACTTGCCTTGAAGAATTATTAAATTTTCTGTGAGAAAGACTTAACTTTTTTATTGATGTTTTTTATATATTTTTAAGTGAAATTTACTGTCTAAACTTTTTAAAAATGTTTATGAACTTGTTAGCATTATCAAGAAGAAGATATTCTAGCCTTAACCAAAGATCAACTTACGACAGTGGTAAACTACATTCTAGAGGAATCGGTAAACATGTGTAAAACCACGGTGACACAAGGTGGTGTTGAAGAAAACTCTGCTCATAAAAAAACTGAAGTGAATCCAGTTGTTGCCCTCAGAGTACCACTTTTGTTGAGATGTTGTTCATCCTCTTGTAAAATCAAGTTTGTTGTTGATCATCTCTTAGATGTCATCAATAACAAATCAGACAGGTATGGTAGTTTAACAAAACAGAGGTACTGAGACGGTTAAGTGTAACGTTTCTTGCGTTGTGACAACATGAAGTTGTTAATGTTTAATAATGTGACAACAGAAGTATTGTAAATGTTTATATTAACCCTCTTGCTACAGACTTGCCGATTTGACTGAGTTCGTAACCCCAAAGTGACCATCGGGGTTTCCATACTATAACTTTTAATATTGTACGTGTATCTTCATGAAATATGGCAAGCTTTCAGTGAATGTTACACAAGCCTTTTGTACACAAAATATCAGTTTTTTTAATTAAGTATTTTTACCAGAAATTTGTCCTTGATTATATGGAGTCAGAGTGATTGTCATGTTAAAATTAAAAATACTTTTCCTATCTGAAAATTGTCAAATTTCATTTGCATAATCTCTAAAGCCTCCTAGATAAATATCAAAAGTTTTTTCTGTAAAACTTTATATTTTGTCTGTTATTTTCTTTAACTATACACATTCCAGTCACTTTGACTGACCTGATAACCACCATAAAAAAAATATGAAATAAATCTAAGTAACCCATTTTTTCGTTCTAGAATGACTGCAGTTTATAACAGGAATCTATATTTGTTTATCTGAAATAGCTTAAAGCTCATAACACTATATGTTTGTTTCTACTTAAATTTTGTCTTTTGACCCATGTTTAACTAATTATCCCACCACACAAGTTGTCAATCATTCAGTGAACACATAGATAAAGTTACCATATTGAATTAAGTAACATACAAGTTGCTCAAGAGCATACCTCATGAAGAATTATTATTTTACATTCTATCTTTCTCTCTAGGTATCATTCCCATCTAGGGCATTGGTGAGCATGGTCTTCCACTGGTCCCTGTCTCCTGTTGCTCTTATCATTTCTATATTGGTAATTCCTAGTTCCTTGACTATTGTTGACAGCAGCATCTGTCTTTGTCTTCCTTTTCTTTCCTGGGATTTTTCCTGCACTGATGATGATTTCAATCTCTCCTTTTCTCATATGTTATATAAAACTCTGTTGTATCTTTGCTAGATTTTCCCATAACATTCGTTTTGTCTTGGCTTTCTTTAGAACAACTTCATTACTTGTATGTGTATTCCATGATATTTTAAGCATTTGTCTCATGAATCGATGCATTTTTCCATTGTTATTGATATTGCCCAACATTTGGAACCATAAAGAAGGATTAGATGAGCATGTCATGTTTCAATTGTACTTTACATTTGTAGCCTAATAAGTTTCTAATTTGTACATTTTAGTTACTCTTATAATAATAAATAAAAAATATACATGAAAAACAAGAAATATGGTACTTACCTGTGTTCTTATGTCAATTGTTGATGAAAATTAAGCCTAGTTTTTAGAACTAATGATGCTAGTATTCTAAATGATTTGTATTTAACTAAACAATGCACCTAAGAACACAAAATAATAACACACACAAACCAAACATAGTCCTATAACTATCACAATTTATCTAGCTTTTCAACTATGCAATAAGAGCCTCTAAAAATTTAGCTAAGCTTGTCAATGTGAATACCTTGAGAGATATTTTCAAACTGGAGGTGAAATAGACAATACCCTATACAGAAAACAATGTAATATAATACATCATTTGATAGATTAAGGCTTTGGCTTTCTATTGGTTATAAATAATTAAGTACAAAACATCAGAGAGTACTGTTGGCAATTTGTGAAAGAGAGAATGTGACAGGTGGGCGTGGAAAGTCGGTGTGATTTTCTAGTTTATGGCTCCATAAATAAATAAGATTGAAAGCTATAAAAATTACGCTTTGTCTTATTAATATCAATATTGTAATGAGTAATTTACATCAAATTCAGTTCTTCTCAGAGAGGTGGTAAATAAACGAGAGAAGAAAAAAGACCTAGAGAACAAATATCACAATTCTCCTAATAGGAGAGATTGAGGATTTTGTTAAATATTTCCTTATAAAATGAAAAACTTAAAACTTAGATGATATTAAAATTTGATTCAATTGTATACAATTGAAATATAGTAGCTTATTACTTTTGGTCATATTCATTATTTTCAATCTAAAACATCAAGAATTGTTCATGGGTAAGATAAACTCCCTAATTTTTGTCCCAGCTACTGCTAATGATTATGTTAGATAATATTAACAATGCTGGTTTTGATACTTACTTTAAAGTAACTTATCTATTTCAGTATACTGCTAATCCAAGTCTAAGTAAACATCTGGAACTTGTTAGGTTCCCTCCATCACTTGAACATGCTTTCCCTTTTAGCCATGGGGACATTATAACATGATGATCAATCCCACTATGCGTTGGTAAAAGAGTAGCCCAAGATTTGGTGATGGTGGTGTTGACTAGCTGCCTTCCCTCTAGTTTACCACTGCTAAATTAGGCAGATAGTCCTCAGCTAGCTTTTCACGAAATTCAAACCAACCAATTATTAGATTCTGCTGGATGTACATTTCATCAGGAGTAGATATTATTTTCGGACATCCTGTGTACAAGTAAATAGGAGTAAACATCTAGAAAAAAAAGAAAAACAATTTTTCTTGCAAATAATTTAACTTTTATAGTAAAGCATGTGTTTCTTATTCTGTAGCTTGTACAAAGATTCTGGTCACCAACTGTTAGTACAGCTCTATCTTCAAGTTCCAAGTCTTGTGTTTAAAGTGTCGGAGTTGTCATCAGTTCTGAAAGACTCGCAGAACACAACATCAGGACCTAGTAAGGTCTGTGAATTGTTTTTTTTTGTAATATTTTACATTCTAGGTATATAGTAGTGTTTGTAAACTATAGGTCTTTCACGTGAAGATCTAAACTCTAATGTGAGGACCTAGTAATGTTTGTAAAATATAGGTCATTCACATGAAGGTCTAAACTATAATGTGAGGACCTAGTAATGTTTGTAAAATATAGGTCAACCACACGAAGATCTAAACTCTAATGTGAGGACCTAGTAATGTTTGTAAAATATAGGTCATTCACATGAAGGTCTAAACTATAAT